TGAGTGCAGGGTTCTTCACATATATGATAGAAAGGATCAAACCCCAGTACCACACACACAAAAAAAAGATGGAAAGGACATTCAAATTAATTGATAAATCACAGAGAAGATAAAAGACTGTTTATGTAGTAGCTCATATATTCACTTATAGATTTGAAGTGACTTTTGGAGCTATAAAAGTGCTCGCTGTCTTTGCTAGCAATTATCATCAATCAAAATGAGCCAGAAAGAAAAATGCACATGTTGTTCCTTTAAAAAGTTAATTTTAGGCTATTTTAATGGAATTCTGATGTATAAGGTCTGGGAATAGATGCTTACAATATATTTTACTATTTTCAGGTCTTTGTTGAAATTTAGGGGTTCTGTTTTGTCCTCCAAATGATGAAGAGAGAGAAAAGAGCAAGAAAATGACTACAGGGATAGAAAATAGATCATTTGGAAATGAGCTGTAAGAAAAAAGGATTTCCAGCTTGGAAAATAAAAAGTTTTAAAATGGGATTTAAAATATTTCATGAACTTAAAGAGTTATTAAAAGGAGGCTGGTCAGTTTTTAATCATTAAAGTGGAACAAATTCAAATTATCCTCAACCGTCATTGACAGTGTTGGCTGCTTACGTGTATTGTGTGCTGATGTGTGAGCCTCCACTTCAGGGCTCTCCCTCCACCTGCAGCAGGGAGTCCTTCTTACTGGGGCAGTTTATATGACCTGGATCTGAATGTGCTGTTTCTGCCCATTGAGCCTTGCCAGCACCACAATTCCAGGGCCAAGTGTCTGCTTTGCATTATAGAGTCCTGCATAGCATCAGGCTGGGATCAAGGACCTACTTTATGGGAGAGGAGCAATAATGGCCATGTGACTATGGAGTCTATGGGTCCTACCCTAAATTGCATCACTGACAAGTGCTCTTAAAAGATCACTTAAGGGGCCAGCTTGGGGATGATGTTCTGTTGGAGTGGGGCCCTGTCCTTCAAAATGTGGCAGATGCCAGGTGTTGGTGGCTCATGCCTGTAATCCTTGCTAATTGGGAAGCTGAGATAGGGAGGATCAGGTTTTGAAGGCAGCCTGCACAAGTAGTTCATGAGACCCTACTTAGAAATAACCAGAACAAAAATGGACTGGTGGTGTGGCTTAAGCAGTAGACTCTCTGCTTTGTAAGCATGAAGTCCTGAGTTCAAACTCCAGTCCCATCAAAAAAAGAAAGTGGTAGATACTTTAAAAACCAGTCCCCAGCCATTGTAGATCTATGATTGAGCTAAGCTTATTAGAGTAATTTCATTTGCCAGTGACTGGTTTAGGGGAAATGGGTTCAGTGCATTTTGGAAAGATTCAGCTCCTCAATAAGCACATAGTGACTTGTGAGGAGAAGTCACCTTTTCCTTCTGGCTTTGGATGTGTTCTATAAAAGATAATGCTTGCAGCCATTGCAGGTCTTATAACCATGAAGACAGAGATAACAGGGAAACTAAGAATGGCAAAGAGATGGAAGGAGCAAGGACCTTGGTGACCTATGAGCTTTTGAAATAACCCTGGCACTGCCTATGGACAGTTTACTAAGGAAGATAATGAGTTTTGTTGTTTCATTGTTTAAGCAACTGTTAGTCAGAAATGGACAATTTCAGGTGATGTCTGTGGCAGATGTTGCTGGCTAGGCTTTCCCACATTCATTGCTTTCTGCTGGCACTTTCCCAGCCTCCCTTGCAGCTAGGTTATGGCTGTGCCACCCATGCAATCTGCACAGCAGTCTCTTGTGAGGCTTCTGAGAAACATGATCCTCTTTAACACAAACAGCATTTAGGGCACACACTTCTCTTCTCTGGCTGGATCCTACTGTGTGTTTCCTTTTTTTTTTTTTTTTTGGTGTGGTCCTGGGGTTTCAACTCAGGGCCTGCACTTTGAGCCACTCCACTAGCATTTTTTTTTTTTTTTTGTGTTGGGTTTTTTTCAAGATAGGGTCTTATGAACTATTTGCCCTGGCTGGCTTCAAAGCACAATCCTCCTGATCTCTGCCTCCTGAGCAGCTCGGATTACAGGTGTGAGCCACCAGCGCTGGGCTACAAATGACATTTTAAAGTTGTTTTTGTGTTGTGTGTTCTGATCCTTGAATTCAGAGCCATCTTAATTCAAACAAACAATATTGTTTGTCGCCTTAACACACCCAAACCTTTGGAGGTAAAAGAATAAAAAAGTTTCTGTTAAAAATTTATTATCAGCTGATCTGTGTAATGTATTTAAATGGGAAATGCTAGCTTTTCACAAAGAATTTTATTTAGTTTTTTCTTTTGTACTGGGATTGGAACTCAGGGCTTCATGCTTGCCAGGCAGGCACTCTACCATTGAGCCACTCCATCAGCCTTGTTTTATGTTGGGTTTTTTGAGATAGGGTGTCACTATTTGCTCAGGCTGACTTGGAACCTTCTTCCTGATTTCTGCTACTTGAGTAGCTAGGATTACAGGTGTGAGCCACCAGGGCTCAGCTTCACATAGTGTTTTATGATACAGTCACAGATGATTTCTGTAACCCTTCACACGAAACAGATCACTAGTTATCCCTACCTATTACAAAGAACTCCCCCCTCACTGTCCCTATAATTGGGAGAAACAACGAAATGATAAAAGGGGTTGCCTTGCTTCTATAGATGTTTTCATTCAGTTGACTGTAACACTTTTTGAATTGAACTTTTATAAAAAGAAGAAAAAGGGAGCCAAATTCCATAACTCTCAAAAGCTGTGAGAAATACTGAAAACCTTCCTTAAAAAAAAAACAAAAAACAAAAAACCCAACTGCCTGGTTAAAGAAACAAAACAAAACAACAAACCCCAAACAAACCCTGGAGAGTAGAAATACATTTCTGTTTAGGTTCAGTGTTAAACAGCAAAGAAGATGAGAATTCAGCATTTTAATTCCACAGAATATTTTCTTTCAAATTTAAACATGTGCCCATGACCCTATATTCCATAATAGAGAGCTGATGAAGAAAGCTGTTCCTGGAGGTCAGCGGGTCTTCCTCCTGCAGACGTTTCCACTTCTGCAAGTTCTCTAGGGTTTCTGGTGGCTCTGGAACCGTTCTGGGACCGTTCCTACGGCATGCATCTCTGCAGAGCAGAGGCTGCTTCCCATTGCTTCCTTTGGCGGCGTTGGGACAGATGGCATTCTTCCTGTGGAGGACAGGTTGGTGAGTCAGGTGTCTTCCTGGCCGCCCTGGCCTGGGGCTCTCTCGGGAAGTGAGCTCCTGCTTTAGCTGAGGCTGGCTCAGCAAGGCGACCTTTCACCCACTTCGAGGGCAGCTCGCGGACCCACAAGCAATTCCTCGGTCGGTGGCGGAGGGGGCGCGGACCCACAAGCAATTCCTGGGTCGGTGGGCGGAGGGGACACGGCCGGTCCCGCGCCCCTCGGTTGGCGGGTCTTCTCTCGCACGCTGAGTTCCCGTCTTAGCCCCCTGCGTTTTGCTTGCCGGTGGGGGTCTCCAGGGGACGCTCTTTTCCTCGTGGAGTGTCCCAAACGAGACACAATGGCCAAGTCCAAACACACACCCTTTTCGGTTCCTAAGAACATTCAAAAAATAACTTGGAGCTCTTGAAAACCAATAGCAAACTCTCGTTGTGGGAGCATTTAGGAAGGGGGTGTGTGAAAAATCCCAGGTCACATGCTGGGTTAAAAAAACCCACACGAGGGCAATAAAAACACAGGCTTTGAGCTTTTGAGCCTCTTCCCGCTCAGGCACTTCCAAACGTCCTTTCTCTTGCACGATGTGCCATTAATTTGTGCAAAGACAGGATAGCGAATCTAGCGCAGGGAGGGACGAGCAAGAACGCGCAAGCTACTCCAGGCTCCGTAGTAAGAATTGCGCGTTAGGGCAGCAAGGGCGCGTCTGTGGTCCTTTTTCGGGGACGGCGGGGCGGGACGGCGCTCCTGCTCACCCTCTTCCTCCCACGTCACCCCGCTCCCTTCCCTTCCCTGCCCTCCCTCGCCGCCCCCTCGCCGCCCCCTCGCCGCCCCCTCGCCGCCCCCTCGCCGCCCGCCGACTCCATCCCCGCCCCACGGCCCTGCGGCCAGGTCCGGTTGTCTGCGGCTCCGCGCAATGACCCGTAGTAACCCCGCCCCGCCCCGCGCCGCCAGCGCCTCGCTCCCCGGCCGGCATTCGATAGGCCCAGCCCTGCACGCGCCACCGCCCGCGGGCCAATGGGCGGCGGCCTCTCTGCCTAAGCAACGAGCGCCGGCCGGGGGTGCGCGTCCCGGGCTTCGGCTCAACAGACGCTTCTCTGCCGGCGCCGGGGAGCGACGCAGCGGTTGTCGCCGCGGTCCGGGCTGGGACGGGGAGACGGCTGACCGGACAGCGGACGGGCGTCCCCTCACGGTGCGGCGGTGGCGGCGCGAGGGTCCCTAGGGGGCGGCGCGGGGTGTGAATGTTCCCGGGCGCCACCAGGCCTGCGTGGGCCCGAGGCCGGAGGAACCGCGGCGAGTGAGTGCAGCGCCTGTTGTGGGGGGCCGAGGGGGTCGGTCGGCGGGCGCGGCCTCCACGTGGGCCCGAGAGACAGGCGCCTCGGAGTGCGGGGGACGCCGCCGGCCCGGGGTCCCGCTGCCGCACGTCGCGGGGGAATGTGGCTCGCGGGTGTGCGCGCAGGCGGCGGCTGCGGTGGGGAGATGCGGCGCGGCGGGCCGGGTGGGCGGCGGCCGGGAGCCGCCTGCGGGGCCTTGGCCGAAGGGCGCAGGGGAGCCGGGAGCCGCAGGCGGGGGCGCGGGCGCGGGGGCCCGGGACCGAGGGTGATGCACCGGCTCCCTGGCCGTGCTGCGGGGAAGGGGCGGGGGCGGGGTCGCCCGCTCCCATGGGATGGTGCAGTGGCCGTGGGAGGCACCCGAGCCCGGGGATTTCGGAGAACCCGGGCGGGAGGGGGGCTGGGTCGCCCTCGGCTGTGCTGTGCGTGCTGCACGCTCCGGTGGTGGTGGTGGTGGTGGTAGTGGTGGTGGTGGGGCTGGGATGGACACCCGACGTTTGGGGTGAGAGCTGTGGGTTTACTTTTCTGCAAGCGCTTTTTAATCGCGCACTGGTGTGTCATGGGATTGGACGTTGAGGGAGGGTTCACCACCAGCGGACCCGTTTCCCAGATGCGAACCCCGAGGCAAACAGATGGAACTGGTTTGTCTGGACGGTCCTGTACTTGAAGCTATTGTATGGAGGGCCCCTCCGAAATAGGAAGGGCAGAACAACGTCTTGAAAATTATATGGAAGCCAGAGAGGGACTAGGCTTTGTGAAAGTGATTATAGCTGAATAGAATGACAAGTAGCTGACATTTATCAAGCATTTATTGCATGTCATGCACCGAGACCTTGATGGCGCCGTATTTTCGCACTGTTGACGACTTTTCAGGATGGTGGGATCCCCATTTTAAAGCTAGAGAAACTGCACTGTGGACAGGCGAACTTGCTCCAGATCTCAGTTTGTGAGAGGAGAAGCTGGGGTTCGGATAGGCCTGCCTAAATCCAGAGCATTTACATCTGACCGCTGTCCTACGCAGCCCCCACCTTGGCTGGCAGAATAGTTTCCAAGGTGGGTTTTGATATGGGTACCCGGGAGAGCTGTAGTTTGATGATGCTGTCCCTCACAATCATTGCAGCCTATTTTGTATCCTCACATTGGTTCCCAGAGTTGTTGAGGGGTGCTGCTGAGTTGCTTGTGGAAAGTGTTAGAGGGCCATTACAGGGAGGAGGTGTTGGGACCGCTCAGTGTGTTGCACAAACTTTATTCTTTTGTTTTCTGGCATTTTCCTGTGCAGTTCTCACATGTAGGGATGAGGAAGCTAATCTGGTCACTCTGGTGTGTATTTTTTGTGTAGATCTTTTAAAGATTCTGGTTCTGTGGGATGGTGGTATTGTTGACAATAGGGCAGAGTGACCCGTTGGACCTAAAGGTTAAGGTGACAAGTCACCTTCTTTGGGGTTTTGGGGGGCTCAGTTACTAGATTTGTAAGACATTGGGTTGAGTGACAAAGTTCAAGTGAGTCTAAAATCTCCTCCTTGAAGGGAAGGAGGGCGGGAAAATGACTAGCTTATTCTTCATTCAGTTAATTGGCCATTTGACTGCGGTTATATGCCAGACACCTTATTGAGTGCTGGGAACACAACGGTGACAGAATTGGTGTGATCTGTGCCCTGACTCAGGAAACAGTCTTCAAGCAATTGATTGGGCAGATAAATGTGGGATTACAAGTTACACAGAACATGCAATAAAGGAAAGATATTGAGTGAATGAAGATTATGATTTAGACGGAAATTTAGAGACCTTTTTTGAATCGATAATGTGAGATGTTACTAGACAACAATCTTGCATTCTGAGCTGTGATTAAATGTGCGTAACGTAAAGAGTTTGAGAACTTTTGAGCAAGGATAATTCTTTTCATTTCAGTTTCTATTCTCATCCAGATTGTCCTTCCAGCTCACATTGAAAGACACATAAACGAGGTAGGAAACTTTTTCAAGTCATTCTGTTAGGGCTGGAGGAGTGGCTCATGTGGTAGAGCACCTGCCTAGCAAGCATGAGGCTATGAGTTCAAACCCCAGTACCACAAAAAAAAAAAAAAAAAAAAAAAAAAAAAAAGGACTGGAGGGGTGGCTCAGGGGATAGAGCACCTGCTTTGCAAACACAAAGTCCTTGGGGTACTGAAAGCTTAAATTTTCCTGTAGTAGTACTTCTTAACACTCCCCACCCCCCCAAACAGTTTCGAAGTAAGAATCTTTTATATGAGATCTGGATTAGGCAGGCTTGGTGGTTCACACCTGTGCTTCCACCTACTTGGGAGTGTAGAGGTAGGATTGAATATCAAGGTCTCAGGCCCATCCCAGGCAAAAATGCAAGACCATATTTGAAAAATAAAGCAAAAAAGGGCTAGAGGTAGGTCTCAACTGGTAGAGTGCCTGCCTAAGAGCCAGCACTGCTCCCCAAAAGGATTTAGTTTTTTTCCCCCCTTCCAGGAAAGCTAAGCTAAAGGGGACAGGCTTTTCTAATTTTAGGTAAGCAGTATCATAATTATCAAAAGTATCCATTGTAGTTTACACTTCACCAAGAAAATTAAAATTTTCCGCTCTTAGGAGACAAAAACAACAACAACAAAAAAGCAAAAACCCACAAACCATAGCATGAATTGGGAAGTATAAACTGTTAAATACATAAATATTTCAGTGGAACATGTGTGAAGACAATGCTAACAGTTCATGACATTATATTTACTGAATGCCAGCTTCGAAACACTGTCCTTAGGTGTATGTACCATGTGGAATGAAAACAAATATAAACATGATGCAGTCCGTGCTTTCGAGATTTCTTTTTAATGAATACTAATACTCAAATTTAAGTGTTTTTCTTTTTCAAAATGCTGCATATGTTAGCTCATTTGATTTTTTAAAAACCTTGGTATGATGCACAGAAATAGTGGAGATTTTAGATGTAAAGTTGTTCATAGCATGGTGATAAATAGTATATGAGGTAGAAAGAGGAGGTGTTGAGTGACTATTAGGTTTCAGACTCATGTGACTGAGGGTAGTGCATATTCTAGTCACTGACGGGGGGCTTACTGCAGAGAGCTAGGTTTTGAATATGGGTAGAGCATAACTTTGGTTTTGAAAATGTTCAGTTGGAACTGCCTTCTGTTGAGTTGCTTTGTTTAGTACTCAGAAGTGGGTTGGATGTTTACTATTTTGGAGCCTTCAAAATAGAGATAGTATCTCAAACACTGAGATTGTGAATGGAGGGCCTGCAGAATACCAAAAGGAGGCCTGGGATGGGGCGGGGTAGAGGAGGGGGATCTTGCAAAGGAAATAGGAGAGGCGGTGTATTATTACTTTTGTGACAGAAACAACGTAAGAGAGGAAGGATTTACTTCGGCTCAAGATTTCAGAGATATTAGTCTATCATGGCAGGGAGGGCATGGCAAGAGAAGAAAAGTTCACATTATGGTGGCAACGAAGCAGAGAGGGGGGAATACACAAAGAGGTGAGGGCAAGACACAGCCCCACCGCCACACCCCCAATGAACTACTTCCTTCCAAAGATGCCACCTCCTACTTTTACCACCTTTCAATAATGACATTATATTATGAATTCATGGGGAGATTAGGCCAGAGCCTTCCTGATCTGTTTGTCTCTGGAAATATTTGCAGAGAAATACTCAGAGGTGTGGTTTACTAATCTCTCAGGAGTTCCTTAATCCAATCAAGTTGTCAGTTAAGATTATACCATCACACAAGTGGCCAGGAAAGTTAGAGGCCAGCCAGAAGCAGATGTCCCTACATGGGACGGCAGTCAGTACTGTGGAATGCTACTATTAGAGGAGACTTGAGAACCATCCATTGCATTTAGCGTCATGGAGATCATTCATGACCTTCGGGAAACAAATAGGAGGTGAGGAAAATAGGGACAATGAGTATATAGGAAACTATTTTGAAGGGTTTTGATTTCAGCATGCTTAAAGTGTTGAAGGGAAGGCTCATTTGAGAGGAGGTTGAATATAGATTAGAAGGGGGTCTTTGTGCAACATTCATGACAGGAGAGGAGCTTGAGTGAGGCCTGTGCCTTAGCTGGGAGGGACCTCTCTTGTGTAGCTGTAGAAGAGAGGTGTGTAATTGATCCTATCTAAATCAGCCAGTTCTTTATCATGGAATCCTAAGCACATTCCTTGAAATTCCTTAAATTTAAATGGTTAAATTCTTAAAAATCAGTCCAATTTTAGTTGACTCATGACTCAATCTTTCAGAAAGCCACACCACAGAAGCATTGTGTGAGGTTGATGTAATTGGTGGTTTAGTCTTGATTTCATCTACCTCAGTAGGGTCATATGTACTTTGAGCTGCCATTCGATTGTAGTTTCTCTTTTCTGAAAAAAGAAGGTGTAAGTTATAAGTCTTGTGATTCCTTCCCTACGTGATTATTTTTGGTTTCTAAAGAAAAAGTTTCACACTGTTTCCGTCTTCCTAACATTTGAAGTGCCTTCGTTACTCTTTTTAGTTCAAGCTTTAGCATCAGTTATTACTGGAATATGTTTACTTGTATAGCACTAATGTTTCCATTTTGAAGGATAATTCATTGGGCTCAATCATTTCTTTAGAATTGAAGATCATAAATAACTAACCTTTTTGGATAAATGACTTCCAAATACAACCATCTACTTGTTTGTGAATAGTTACAGTTATAATGGTATAGAAGGACATACATTCTTTCATTCATATATCCATGTAGTGCCTGTCTTGCAAGGGACCATGGGAATTTGGACGTGATGGAGAGATGATTTTTGTTTTCAAAGAGCTTTAGATTCACGAGAGAAAGTATATGAACAAACGTTAAGGTATAACAGAAGAGACATAAGAGCATTATTACAGGGTATAATCAGTGTAGCTAACAGCAGTGGAAGCTGTTAGGAAATACAGAAATGGTGCCAAGTGGGCACAGAGCAGGGGAGGAAAGAGGAGATTTTGCAGTGGAGGCAAGCTAGTTCAAGATGAACTGGAGTTCTACCAGGTGAACTGGGAGCCAAGAAATAGAATGTTTTACTTTGAATTTGGACCTGGTGTGTGCGTGTGTGTGTGTGTGTGCGCGCGCGTGTGTGCGCGCGTACATGCACAGCTATGTATACATCGAAGATGTTTGGACAGTATGGAATAACACTGATAGAAAAATGAATTTTTTTCTTACGCTCTTAACACTGATTGCTCAAGAGGTGAAAAGCTGCCTTTTTTTTTTTTTCCCCCTGTCCTGTCCTGGTCAACTTTTGCCCCCTATTTGATGCAGAAAGTAATTGGATTTGTGTTCTTCTAATACAGAGTTTTTCTTTTTCTAAACTAGTGGTCTTTGGGATAAAGGTAATAGCTAACACATTTTCAGTATCCTGTAATTAGGTACTATTCGTATTTTCTTCTTAGTCTTCTAAGATAGATTCTTCCATCATTATTTTATAGATGAGGAAACTGAAGCAACAGGGGAGTGTAGGTGACTTGCCTGAATTTGTGGTGGGTTTCATCCCATTCAGTTAGGTTCATGACTCTGGTTCCAGCATGATCCTTTGGCTTAAGTTCACATTGACTTACGAAGGCATGATTATATATTAAGATAGGCTATGATGACATATAGGAACAATGTTTATATCTATCTTAATTATACATAGTTATTGCCCTAAATAAAACTCTAGTTTTTTTTTACAGTGGAGAAGACATAAGAAATAGCAATAACATTGAGAGAATTTAAGAATTTTCTTCTGGTACATGAACATAAACACTTCAAGATACATTCTTCTTTAACATTCCTTTACATAAATCACTATTGTTGCCCTTTTGTTTTTTATTTTTAAATTTATCTTTAATAATTTTTTTGAGACAGTGTCTTGATGTGTAGTCCATGTAAGTCTTGTGTGCCACCATGTTCAGTTGCTTTGTACATATTTTATGTGTTTACTACATGGAAATCACTGGAGTATTTGCATGGGACATCTCAATAAATAAGATTCTCAGAAACCATTTATCTCAGAGGCAGTGCCAATAAATAAATGGAGCCAAAGATGAGGCAGATCCTCACTCTGATTTCAAGAGCTTACCAGCATTCCATTTTGAGATACATAAATTCAGAAGTAATTAATTACATAGGAAAAATGGATGCCCTAAGAGAGTATCCGTAGAGTGCCCTGAGGAATCAATGAACAGGTGGAGAAGATCAGGCTGAGGTGCCCAGGGGAGGTTTGGGTATCAAGAGACTGCCTAATCAATTTTGATGTTAGGAAATTATTAGAATTTGGCTGTGTGTGATGGCCTCCTAGCACTTGGGAGGCTGAGGCAGGAAGAATGTGAATTTGAGGCCAGCCTGGGTTACATAATGAGACCCTGTTTAAACTCCCCCCCCCCCAAAAAAAAAACAAACAAAAAACCCAAGGCATTGTTTTTTCGATGTCTGCAGAAGAAAGGACATTTTAGGAAGTGCTAACAGGCAAAGTGAACAAATTTAGAGAAGGCAGGTGAGGGAGACAGAGAGGCAAACAATTGATTAAAGTGTGGAGTGTGGGAGGGGTAGTTGAAAGTTGCCTTGAAGTTGTGGAGGGCCTTAAATGCTTGACAGAGAAGTTTGGAATTCTTCCCTGTCTTTTTTTCTGTTGGATGATGAGGAGGGAATTAGTTGTTGAGTAGGGGTTGACATGGTGAAATCTGTGCTATTAAGGAGTGGCAGTGCTTCACTGGCAGCATGGATGCAGGGTATACTGATGAGGGCCGAGTTAAGGAGACAGTTGAATCTGCCAGGTGACAAGAGGAAGGACCTGAACTGTAGAAGCTGCAGTGAGCCTGGGCAGGAAGGATGGATGAAAGGAACTAGAATCATCACTTGGTAGCAGATGGGACCTGTGGAGAATAAGGGAAAGGGAATTTTACTGGATGCTTGAAGTTTTGAGCAGGGTTCTAGAAATGGTAGACTTGGCTTCCATCTAATCT